AGGGCCGGGTATGTCCCTAAGGTGCCCACTTCTTCACCAGGGCCCTTAGTACTTCAGGCATTCTGTCCTCCTCCATTCCAGGAAGCAGGCCAAGAAAGGCTTAATCTGCTCTGTCCAGTTCGAGCACTGGACGCTTACGCACACAGAGCTGCCCCGTGGCGTAAGGCAGATCAGCTTTTTGTTTGTTTTGGTCCGCCAAAGAAGGGATTTCCGGCGACCAAGCAGACTATGAGTAGGTGGGTGGTCGAGGCCATCTCACTAGCCTACGGGTCCTCTGGCCTCCCGTCACCTATGGGGGTCAGAGCGCACTCGACCAGGAGTATGGCGGCCTCCAAGGCTTTCAGCTTGGGTGTGGCCTTGCAGGACATTTGTGCTGCGGCGGGCTGGTGCTCTCCGCACACTTTTGTCCACTTCTAGCCTCTTCTGGCATCTACTCCAGGTTCCCAAGTTCTCTCTTCGTGATGTGCTCGCAAGATACACACACAGGCAGGGACTTGGTAGTTTGGCGCAGTGGGTATTCTCGTTCCCAAAGCGATTCTCGACGCAGCTCGAGTTCCTGAAGGGGAACGTCTCTAGGTTACGTATGTAACCATGGTTCCCCGAGGGAACGAGACGCTGCGTCTCTTTGCCATACTCCCTGCATCCCTGCAGGCGCTACTTCATCGAAGCTGACTTGCGCTCTGCCGGATGCGCTTTTATACTTTCTGGTGCTTACGTCACCCTGCTCGTGACGTCTCGCTGCTCCATTGGGCTGATTTGACACGTGCTTCAGAACGCGGTCACGCAGGAGCGTTCCCAAAGCGATTCTTCAGCGTCTCGTTCCCTCGGGAAACCATGGTTACATACGTAACCTAGAGGCGTTTTTTTTTAATGTTTTTCTAAAATAAAAATAGACACAAGTGAGACAATTGCTGACAAACAGCATAAATAGCAATACAAAAATATGGATAACCTTTATTTTATTTTATATTTAGTTATTTGTTTTTTCCTGCTGGTCACCATATGTTTATTATATGTATTTGCTATTTATGTTTATTATTATAATTAATATTTGAACCAGTGTTAGTGTCATTAATATACTATTTTGAATTTGTTAATATTTTGAATTAGATTTTATTTCTATATTGTCTGTTTTCACTTTAATTTTAGTAATTTTGTGTTTTTGTCATATTATTAAATGTCTATATAATTTTTATGACCTTTTTTTTATTAGTTTTAGTTTATTTAGCTTTAGTTATTTTAGTATACTAAATAACTAAATTCAACTAAATAAAATAAGAAATGTTGCCCTGCATCTAGCTGAAATAAAATATTTTATAAAATTATTTTATTTCAGGTATGTTTTTTCATTTCAAATAAATATTTTTTTTATGGTTTCAGTTTTAGTTCAATATATAGTTCAGTCATGAAACTCTAGATGGCGCATTCTGATGGGGTGATAACGTAACTGATGATATTCAGAGAGTTAAACGACTTGGCACAAGCTGATTGGTTCATGCTGCATATGCAGCCAATGAGCTTACTGCCTTGCATTTATATGGCTGGCTAGACCATGCTAAAATCTTCAGAGAGTTGTCATGATTGAACTATAATAATGCTGTTATAATCATTTCAGTCAGGAGTTTAAAGGTTGGTTGAAGCTGTACTCTGCAGGACCGGAGCTCAATAATCCTGATTTAGATATGGCTGAGTCTAAAAAGAAAATTCTGATAAAAAATTGAATAAACCAACATGAATAAACCAAATATTAGGACAGTGCTTTTCTGCTGAGACTAAATAAAGGAGAATATGCCGTGCGTCAGCTGAGCTAAGTAGACACAAATTACACAAACAGGTATGCGGAGCGTGCTTTTACACAGACGCAGACGTAAACGCTCCTGCGAGCTCGTGAAAAAGCTCACGCAAACACAAACACAGCTGCGCGACACCACAAACACACACATTCACACTCACAAACAAACACAGTCGCAGACATAAACAGCTACACATCTACACTATGATTCTGACCAATTCTGGATGAAACGGAGACGGCACGCTGAGCTCTGAGACGCACACACGGCAGATAGTGAAGGGATCTCTGGGTAAAGGTGAGGTCATTTAGTGTGTAAGAACACACGGATACTGTACAAACCCTGCGGCTCGGACTCTCTCATGTGCTGCGTTTCAAAGCATCCGAAGCCCAAATGAAATACTGCCTTCTTTTATATTAGAACATATTCTGCACAAAAATGCATTCATTTGATATGCTGTTGACATATTACAGTAATTCCTCACATTTTAATATTTTTGCAGAAATGACATCTAGTACATGTGTGTCCCTTTCCTCTAGGCATTTCTACACAAGGTTTTTTTTTGCAAAAAAAAAAGTTAAATAAAAAATATTGCTGCAAGCAGTAATTAGGTGGCCAAGCAGCTGCAGGTATACAGCAAGTTATTCATGATCCAAAGAACACAAGGACAGCAGAAGTTTTCTGAGGTTATCAGCAGCTTAACCCTACTTTACAACTCTGTCCCACAAAGTTTACCGTCACCCTCGGGACAATCCCAAAGTCTCCTATTATTGTTCACTTTAATAAGTAAATTCTTGGATCAGGTCTCACAATGGCTTACTAAATCTTGTTTGCATCTGTATGTCAAGAAAACTGTAAGCATGCTTTTTTTTTTTTTTTTTTACAGAAAGGGTAAAGTTTCATGCTAAAGCAGAAGTACGTGTCCAAGGACAGAAATTAATTTCAATATTTAGGAATAACAATTGATTCTCAGCTTTCTTTTTAAGGTGAAGTAAGTGGTTAATAGAATGAAATTCAATTTAGCCAATTTTAGGTTCATTAGAAACAGCTTAACCTAAGAGGCTGTGATGTTATTCATGAAAGCTATGATTCTGCCGCATATACATATTGTATGTCTACTTGTACACGAACATGCAAGTCTGATCTTGAGACTGTTGAAACTATTTATAAGCAAGCTCTTATGAATTAGATAAAAAGCTAAATAGTTTCCATTACTGTGGTATTTTAGTTATGTATTATTTTTTCAAGCTAGTAACACATGATAAAATTTGCTGATTTATTGTTGTTGTTTTTTTTAAGATTCTGATTTTGCTTCATATTAAGGAGTGCATAAATCAGATATGAGGAAGGAACACAAGAGCAAAAGAAAAAGTACTTTTAGTCAGTTATCATTTGCCTTTAAAAGAACTCATGACTGGAATAGACCTCCAATAGAATTAAAACGTATAAAAAGTCATAGTGGTTACAAACAAGCAAGCAAGCAAGCAAACAAACAAACAAACAAACAAACAAACAAACAAACAAACAAACAAACAGATAAATTAATGAGGTCAAATTAAAATTGTGAACATATATAGGGATTAAATTAAATTAAATTAAATTAAATTAAATTAAATTAAATTTATTTTATTTTATTTTATTTTATTTTA